CATTACATAGGCTATCCTCAACATCTGTCAATATAGATGGAATTCAGTAATTGTTAAAGAACATATTTTACTGGCCCAATGTTGTTACGGCATTCATTTCGAACCAAAGACAAAATATGTTGAAGTTGTTCTTTTGTTAATGAAATATTTGGTTGCAAAATAAAAAATACTACACACACACTTGTACTAAGAGTAAAGGAACTGCAATGAAGGGGAATTTAGCAAACTAAGAAATGTTCTTATACAAAGTAGCTTGGTTTGGTATGTTGACAGAAGTATTAATGGAAAAGTTTGCCATCAATTACAGAGATGATGAATGGTGAAGTAGGTGGAAGACTAAATAATCAGTGTTTCAGAATGTTACTTAGAACAGTATTGCATGTCATGAGTTCTTGTGATGAATTCTAATGTACAACTTATTAGCAACATCACCTCATACGAGAACGAATCAACTTAACTCCTTAAAACAAAACCTTATTGTTATAATAACAGCAATGCTTGCACAGGATGTAAAGTATAAAAGCTTGTGCTAAACCAGGCTAGTTAGTTATCGAGTTAGCCCATAGTTAGTCAAGACAGAAACTTGTGTCTGCACCAGCTTGACATAATATTGAAACTCTATTATGAAGCAACATTCAGTTCAACTAAGTTTATTTTGTATTCTTATAAGATTCTCCTTTAAGATGGAAGCTAAGTTAAAATACCAATGTAGATAAATGAATGAAGTTAATTTCAAAGGGGGTTTTGGTTCGTAATTAATATAAAAACAGTTTAAGAGCACTGATTAAGGAGTACATAAAGAGGTTGGAGATAATGTTAAAGGTCTCGGAACAAATGTCATTAAGAAAAAGAGTCATGAACAACTGAAGAAAAATAAACTCTGTAACAATTAGTATCCAATTGATAATTTACTCGCAATCAACAGCAACTAGGTACATTTCGATGGTTCCAACTAAAGAACTGAATAACTGTGGAGAAAACATTAAATGTCTTTCTCTAGCTACCTACATCTCGAGAAAAAGGAAAGAATACGAATCTATATAAAAATTATCCATTTTAATAAGAATGCATAAAACCTTTTCTTAATACATATTCAGCCAACAATCTATGGAAATCAAAAGTTAAAATGTATGAAAAACAAACTGCAAACATTTAAGATATGGCTAGAATTACATTTTATAAGAGTAACAGAGTGTAAAGGACATTAATTATAACAAACCTCTTATAGGTCACAGAATACCTGGAAATCAAGGAAACGTACAAAGATGAAACAAATCATTGATAATAAAAGTACTCAACCACTTAGAACAGCCAGTAAGAATAACAGACAGTATGGTCTTGAAAGAAAAAATTAAGTAATCTGTATCTTGACTTGTTGCGATAATTGATGGCTGAGTAATCCCAATAATGTTTGAAGACCTTTCCTTTACTTTGGTATACTTCCCAAGTGGAAGAGGTAGCTAACAAGGTTTTAAAACACTATTACAGAAGAGAGAACAATGGATAAGGAGTTCATCACAATGATATTCTAATCATGGGTAAGACCCCTTGGAGAAAATGTTTTGAGAAAGCATATCTATTGGTTCTGTCAGAGCATTGGGAACTAAGGAGCAAGATACTTGTAGTATAGCACTGAAACTTTTGGTGAATGTATTCAGATGCTGGGAATCAGAATGGATCACCATCAATACTAATCTACCTGAAGGACCACCACTCTCACCTGTCCTCTTCAACATCTACACAGTGGATCCAGACCATCTTGACAATCCAACTGAAAGCCATGTGCTAATCTTTGCCAATGAAATTCTGGTGTACGACAGAGGACTAGCAAAGTTGAAATTAAAGTTAAAATTCAACCATCTCTTAACATGAGCAAATGGAGCAATGACAAAGGAATGGTTATAAATCTTGCCAAAGCCACAGTCATATTCTGCACACACAAGAACAGGATAAACCAACATCATCTTTTGCAGGTGCTGCCATCCTTCTGGAAGAAATGTTGAAATACCTGGGGGTAACTTTGACATACAACTCAGTCATAATGACACTATGATATCCAATACTATCAAAGAACTGAAGAATGTCACCTGCTTATGATCTGCAAGTGTCTTATCCACTCCTCCTGGATTGTATACTACTGATGATCAGTGTGAGTGCTATATAGCTAGATAAGATTGAAAAATTCAAAACACTTGTTTAAGATACATCACAGGATGTACTTCAGTCATGCTCATCAAGGCCTTATTACAACTCAGAAGCCTCAGCAGTATTGCAGAACTCCAACAGTGCTGACAAGCATAATTTTTCAGTAGGACTCGCAGTGTACATACCATGCATTCCATCATTGAGCTACTGCCTTTGTAAGTTGGAACATTCTAATTCCATAGCTACACAACAACCCTGCTGTCATAGGTGAAAAGGAACTATATGGCCACCATTGAGATAATTGGTCACAGTTAGATCTCGGGCACCTCTATATGGAATAAACATCTGGCATCAGTGGGATCTGTGGAAATCTAAACAGACATTGTATAAAATTGGCAGTGTTTAGCAGTAAAAGCCTATAAGCCCCCTATTTCAAAACAATGGTGTCCATCATAGCCACAGATGGTTTCTACACCACAAGCATCAAGAGGATTGTTTGGTCATTCGTCATCTCATGGAGCAATACTATTCTAAGTACGGCTAGTGGAGCATTCAAGTTTCCCAGAAGCAGTATAAAATGGAGTTGGAAGCCATAAAGCAAGTTCTCCTCTTGAATGCTGAATGCAACGAATCATAAACAGACAGTAGCACCAACATAATGTTACTGACTTGTAGGCTGTACTGCGTAACATTCAGAGTGGATGGCAGAAACAAAAGCAACTGCATGGTAAGACCACCTGAATATACGTGACAGGCCATGCAGGGATAAGTTTAAATGATGAAGCTAATAAACTCACAGGAGAAGTCCAATTATTAAATCCAGCATAACTAAGCAGAATATCAAGCTCCTCTGATTAGTAAGGTGAAAACAGCAAGTGGAAGATTTTCCTCAACATTAAGAGGGAATGATACTGGTGGAAAACAAAGTATTGTATGGTATAACTAGGAAAATCAAAAGATGGAGAATCTATAGGACAGTATACACACAGAAGGCCACTGGTAACATCAGTCAACAAACTCTCTTCTACCTACTGTGAAGCAGATAGCCCACATATGAAGGATCAGTGCCCATCAATTCAACCTCTCAGTTCAATTCTACATCTATGCCATAATGTTCCAAATATGCCAAGAAAGTTCCTTAGTATCATGATCAATCAAGTCCAGATAGGAGGATCAGACATTACAACACCTGAGGACATGGCATCCTTCAAGTAAAACTTTTATTAAACTACATAATGATTAAAGTTTAAAGAATAAATTTATATAGAAAACCTAAGGTTTAAAATTGATTTGGGAGAAATAATAGCAAATACTAATGAAAGATCAAATCAGACAAATGTTTTTTTTAAATATCACAATTTCTGTTAAAAAGTCAGCATATAACTCACTACAGGAGTGGAAAAGAAAGTAAATTAAAATATTCTTTAAAGATTGGTGAGTCAGGAAATAAAAAGTCGTGTCTTGTGGAAAGTTTTCACTGGTTAATGGGGGAACGATGGCATACAAGATAAACTTGGAAAGGGTGGAAACTCTTAGCACACACATGTAAACGCGAACAGGGGTAAAGGTGGAAACTCTTAGCACACACATGTAAACGCGAACAGGGGTAAAGGTGGAAACTCTTAGCACACACATGTAAACGCGAACAGGGGTAAAGGTGGAAACTCTTAGCACACACATGTAAACGCGAACAGGGGTAAAGGTGGAAACTCTT